TATTTACTTTAGATACCTAATCTACTATTAACCTCAGGCTGGGGGTAATAGCTGCTAAGATTTAGGGGTCTAGATAATCTAACTAAAGTATTAACTAAACTTAGTAATTATCTAATCCTTCTAGGTATTCTAGTCTAGAAAGTATATTAGCTAGTATATTAAGCTTCCTGGGTTAAAAAGTAATTAGAAAGTAGAAACTAGATAGGAACTTATTCTATTAAGTCTATTAAGGGTTTAGTTACTACTTCTATATAAAATATTATAATACCTAGTAGTCTATAAAAATATTAAATAGCTTAGCTCTTTATAGGCTTTATAGCTTAGCTTATTATTCTTTTAAAGTATATATAATAACTAATATCTCTTAGTTATAGATGCCATAGTTATACTCTACTAGATTTATAATCTTAGAGTAGTAGATAATAGGATGCTACTCTTCCTCTTACTACTAAGAGAGTATACTAGTAACTACTCTATTAGAGGCATCTATCTCTAACTTTATAGGTAAAGATAGGTTATAATAAATAAGAAGTAGAGCTTCTATAAGAGCAGCCTTTAAATAGTAGAATGCCTTCTTATAAATATTATTCTATATAAAGGGGATATCCTTCCTTATTAGTATAATAAGGGGTTTAGTAATACAACTATACTCTTATATAAACCTCTAATAGAAGTTATAAAAGCCTAGAAATAACTAGACCCCTCTTATAGTAGTAGGTGTCTTCTACTTTTATACTATAATAACCTTCTCTAGGTCCACCTTAATGCTATCTATTAAGATAATAAAGCTAAGATACTATATCTTTATTATATAGAATTTATACTTCTTATTAAGGCTTATAGGCCATGCTCCTATAAATACTATAAAATAGTATAGATATAGAGCTAGTAATCTAATTTATTATTAGAATAGATTAGTAGGTTATTAATAAATACTATTAGGTATTAATCTAGGCAGTCTATAAAAATACTATTTATAAAGTACTAGAATATAGCTAGCCTATTAGTAAGACTAAAGGGTATTACCTTATATTTAAAGCTACCATATTGGGATTATTGTTCATCGCAGGGGGGCATAGAGCCTTCAAATCATGTGAGGGTAGGGGGTAGGCCAAAGGCCGCCCCATACATGTCCTACTGATATTGAGGGATTCTGGCCCCTTTTATAATTCTACCTAAGCTATGAAGGAATATAAGAATCTACATGGTTATGTATATGCTGATGACATCTACTAATATCCTCTATGCACCCTCATAGACTTAATCAAAATTATATATATTAATTAATATCATATCCTCCCCTACTTAGATTGAACTCCATCTGTGGAGTTCTTAGTTAGTAAGTAGAAGGTTTAGTTAGCACCTGTCATTACAGCTAAATAGGGTTTAACTATTACTAAGATATATTAATTACTAGATCTAGCATCTGGATAGTATTATTTCTTTATTAAATGTCTATAGAATTAATTAAATTATTCTTTATTCTCTAACTTTAAAATTAGGGTGGTGGTAGCTTAGCATCTTCTTTATTAATATATAAGGGTTATAATTAGATCCCTTTACTTAGTGATATTAATATATAAGTTACCTAAGTAATTAGTAATTACTAAGTAGTATATAGGGAATTATAGTAAATATTACTATTCATAAATATATATAAATAAAAGAATTAATAAAGGTAGAATTAACTAATAATTATAAATAAATAAGTAAATATTTACTACTAGTATATATAGCCTAGGTATAAATACCCTTAATCTTTAGTACTTTATTATATATAATATTTTATAGTTTAAGCCTTAATAATATATCCCTTAGCTAAACTTCTTCTTATCTAAACTAATAGTCTCTTATCATTACTCCCTAATATAGAGTATTTTAATATTCTTTATATCTTATTTTATCTTTATTCTATTAATTTTAAGATGCTTAATATTCCTAAATATACTAGCACTATATAGGTAGCTAAGAAAGATATTAGCTATAAATTAATAAGCACCTAAATATCCTATATAATATTACTAGACCCTATATAAGAGATTAATTAAGCTACTTAAAATAAGTAGATTCTTATAAAGGACCTTAAGATATAATCTAACTATAATACCTTCCTCCTATAATAATATAGTAATAAAATATCTAAACTATATTCTATCTATATAGGTAGTTATAGTATCTTTTATTCCTATATAGCTGCCCCTAATATAGTTAATTCTTCTAGATAATATTATTCTTTGTATGCTGGCACCTATATAAATTATATATAGAATAGTAAAGGTATAGACTATTCTTTTTACCTTAGTAAATTAGGAGTCTAGAAGCCTAATCTTAATATATATAAATTCTCTTTTCCTTCCTTATTTTTATTTTAGTCTTTTCTAATTTATATAGTCTATTCCTTAAGTAAGGGGGACTTTATACTCTTAATAATAATAGTCTTATTATATATAACTAGCCTATTAAGAAGGCTAAAGAAGCACTAGAATCTACTATTTAATCTTATTCTATAAAGCTAATTACTTCTTCTAAGAAAGGTAAAGTATCTATAAAAAAGTTAACTCTAGAGATTATTATATCTTTTCTATCTAAAGGCCCTACTACTTATTCTTAGAAGAAGAAGTTCTTTTTTAATCCTTCTCTTTTTATATTAAAGATAAGTACTCCTACTTCACCTTATAAGTTTATTAATCTTTATCTATATAGCTTCTTCTAGGCTGATGAGTTTAGTATAGTCTTATTTTATTAATATTATTTTTAAGATGCTTCTTCTAAGGCCCCTTCTACCCTTCTTAATAAGGGAAAGAAATATCTAACCCCCTTAACTAATACTACTCCTTTAAAGTAGAGATGTTAAGGCTATCCTATAGATAGTTAAGTACTTACCTAGCTACTCTCTACTAAGGATTTTAAGAACTTAGGGCACCTATATTCTATTTACTAAGACCTAGTAAAGTTTAATAAGGTTATAGTAAATTAGATTAATGCTCTAAAGGCTATTAAGATAAAAGAAGAAGATATAAAGAAGGTTAATAAGTATAAGAAGGTATATTAGAACTAGGTTCTTTTAGACTAGGGTAATTATTAAAGCTAAGATAGAGGCTAAGATAGTTAAGTATAGCTTCTATTAAGAAAGCTAATAAAGTTAAAGAAGCTTTTTTAGTTAGATTAATTTTATAGTTCTTAGAGTTTGGTATAGATATAGCTCTCTTATCTAGTATTAGTTTATAGTTTTCTTTTATACTTAGCTATCTTTAAGTAATTAACTTTAGTTAAATAGGTAATTTATTCCTTTATCTTAATATTCTTATAATATTAAGTAGCTTATCCTTCTCTAATTATTTCTAATAAGCTGGAATTACTACTATAAATAATCTATTAAAGTTTATATCTTTCCTACTAGTATTCCTTTAGGGTTAATTACTCCTTAATAATTTATATATTATTCCCCTATTTAGCTTATTATCTAAAGAAGTTAAGTTAATTTCACTCTAGTTACTTTCTAGAGTTAACTTCTTTTAATAGTACACAGGTTAGCTATTCCCTATTAGTATATTACTAATATATTCTTAAAGCCTTATTTATTAAGTATATTATTTTATTAAGATACCCTTCTCTACCTGCTTTAAATATACTCCTAGATATTTAGTAGATTCCTAATCCTTTTAAGTCATTTTTAAAAGTTTATTATATGAGAATAAGGGGTTATTAACCTCTTTAAGTACCTTATAGTAAGTGGTTAAGAGGGGCAGAAAGCTCTGTGTAAGGATGTCAGCAGGGAACATGGTGACGGATCGTCACATTAGATAGCTCTTATAGCTATCTAGAATAAATAGATAATATCTTCTAACTATATAGCTAGTTACTATAGGGATAAAGATTTTTTAAAGTTATTAAAGGCCTATCTTATTTATTATTTATCTATTTTAACTAACTTTAATTCTAGATCTAGTAAGGTAATAAAGTATAATCTTAATATTATCCCTTAATATAAATCTTCCTCTTAAGATTATATAAGATAGAAGCACCTAGCTAGTAGTATTAATATATTTAATTATTATAACCTATTCCTAATTACCTAGCTAAATAAGATAAGGCTTTCTAGATATATTAGCTTTTATTATTATCTTAGTAGTTATAATTAAGCCTATTATAAAGCCTATTTCATTAAAGTTATATATATCCTTATAGAAGATACTATATTATATTTAGATCTACTATAGATAGTTAAACTACCCCTTAATAATCTTTAGATCCATATATTAAGTATAACTATAATTATATTATTAAGTATATTAAGTTTTAATCTCCTTATATTAATTAGTAAAGATAGACACCTAGTTCTTACTAATAAGTTTAAATCTAGATAGATTATCTGCCTGGAGAAGAAATGAAGAATATTAGCTATTTCCTATATATAGGATAGCCTAGGAGCCACTCTGTGCAGATGCCTAGATAGTATCTATTCTACTAATACTTCTTCCTGCATAGGAGATAGTTAGTAATTATAGCTATATTTTTTAATTTAATATTAGTATCTATTTAGTTAATCTTGAGGGTAGATCTAGGCATATTAAATATCTCTATAGCGCAGTGAATGCTTGAAATTTTATTCTTTCCTAAAGTAGATATTACTAGTTAAATCCTTCCCTCTTGCTCTACTAAATTTCTAGGGGTTTAACATGGTTTTGATGGCATGGTTGGTTTGGATAACTTCGGTGTAAACGCGTTGAAATTGGATGGGGGTGGCTGGCTCACCCAGTAATACATTATAAAAAAAGCAAGCTTCCACGAATGGATACCACACCCTACATTCAATTTTAGTATGTTCCAATGATACTTATTAGTTTTTGACAGCAATTGAGTGCCCCATGTCTGGAGGAGCCCAGTGCCCTTTCAACTTATTGAGTTTCAGGCTGCCAGCACCCTGTAGGTACACACACACTGACAACATAGAATTTCCATTAAAAAGTTGACACGAGTTTCTGACACTCCATGCGCAGTGACTCATGCCTCGAATTCCAACTCGATTAGTACTCAATGCACATAAAGAGAATCCGCTTCTCCCATTGCTCCTGCGGGAATGCCGCACCTTGCCATCTGCACGAAATGAACTTCGCTGGCTAAGGGAAAAAGCTATCGGTATTGCCGCGAAAAGGGGAAGACTTAGAAGGTCAACCACCTTATTTGGCTGGAGAAGCACCCTGAGGTCGATGTGCCGGGAGCGATCAAAGGGACTGCCACTTCAATACATTCTGGGGGACCAGCCATTTGGAGATCTCGAGATACTTTGCGAGAGAGGGGTGCTGATTCCCAGGTGAGTTTGACCAGCTGAGCAACTTCCTATATTGTTCTGATTTCTACATTTTTCAATTGCTGAATGATGCTCCTCTTCATCCTTATTGCGTCCTTCGTCGACATCTACTACCTCTACATGCTAATTGGCAAGTCATGGCACAGACCAGAAACCGAGTCCTTGACATTTCATGCTGCCACTGTGATTCTGCGAGAATTCGGTGGCTGCAGAAATCTAGATGGGTCAATCACTGCATCCTCTCTCCGAATACTAGATCTTTGCTCCGGCACCGGCTGCATATCGCTTCTCCTGCATGCTCTCCTTTCGCGTTACTATGATCGGGTATCCGTCCTGGGCGTAGATATCAGCAGCAGAGCTGTTGATTTGGCCAGGAGAAATCTTCACTACAATGCTAGATTGGAGCATTTGTCTGGTCGCGCTCTTCAAGAAGTGCAGTTCCTCCAGGGTGATGTACTTCGCTGCAAAGAACATGAGCACTCAGACATTTACCAGATCCTACGGGAGTACTCTCATTCGCAGACCATCACACTTGGCGGGGATGAGAATCTTCGATGGGATGTGTTGGTTTCAAACCCACCTTATATATCAGCTGAGTCATTTCGAAATGGGACTACAGCGCGTAGTGTCCGAATCTTTGAGCCCACTATTGCGTTAGTCCCCCTCATTGGATGCATACGTCTATGTTTGGACTGCATGAGGAGGATTTGTTCTACCAGAGATTAATTCTGCTATCATTTGATCTTCAAGTAGGATTGACTGTGCTGGAGTGCGGCGATCGACTGCAGGCGGAACGAGTAAAATCTGCTTGCAGTGAAATTGCAGCTAACCGCAGAGCAGCAGATACGTTATCCATATGGGTGTGGCCTCTGGACACTGGGGTTGCAGCAGACTCGCCCTCTTCAGATCAAGATCCATGTGCTGTTTTCTTATATAGACGGCCTAAGCTTTAAGACTCTCGCATTATACTGGGCGCTTCTACAGAGTAAACCCGTCCTACTAATTTTAATAGTCGGCCACGCCAGTGACCCCAGTGGGATGTGGAAACTTGTGTCCACATATAGACCTAATCTTGATACAGAGTTACAGGTGCAAAGGTCCTATACTCCCAGTAATTAATCTAACACTCTAGGGCGTGCTGGAGATGGTGGCAGTTTCTTTGTTATTATTATACCTTCAAACCTATTAAAATCTGGCTACAAAAATTAGAAATGTAAATATAACTACAAGAGAAAACACCAGATAGTTAGTTTTTACAGACTTTTATATTACCAAGGCTATAGCAGACCATAATGCTGCTGTAGATAGTTAATACTAATGGAGGGCTTAGACCTATTATATTATATAATAGACTAATTAGCTAGGTATTATATAGCTTAATAATTGGTTCTTTTTTTACTTAAGTAATATATAGCTATCTTACTATCTTTATCCTAATCTTACTGGTTAATATTAACTCTTAGTAACTAATCTTATGGTTCTATTTACTTTTTAAAATTTAATTAACTTATTAGAATACTCTAAAAATAATAATTATTACTACAGTAAAGCCTTGCTATAATAAGCCTCATTATATTAAGGTGTTCTATTAGCTAATATACCTTAGGGAAAGCCTATCTTAATATCTTAGAGGGCTGCTTTATAAGCTCAGAATACCTCTATCTAAATATAATACAGAAAGACCTATATGAATAGTTTTAAGATACCTATAATTATACTCTTTCTAGCCTTGTCTCTAATATATTATCCTATAAATATAATTATATTAATACTAATTCCCTCCCTTTCTATAATATAGAACACTATTACTATGGGAACTAGCCAGAGCTAGAGAATACCTTATCTAAGTAGATAATATATAGAGAGAGATAAATACCTTCTTTTAAAGAGATTATTTAATAAAAAGCTTAGTCTTTTTTAGGATAAGATCTACCTAGGGTAAGAGATGCTAATATTTATTAATAATTAGATTTATAACTTTTAGATAAGGAGGTTAGTAAGATGGTATTAGTATTATAGAGGGAAGAGAGGTATTCTAGCTTAGATAGATTAAGAGATACTTAAGATTAAATAAGTCTTAAGTACTTATAGCCTAAAGACTAGTTTAATTATAATAAGACTAGCCACATTTAGAAGTAGAGTTCTACACAGAGTCATTTAATATATTAACTTCTAGATTAAAAGAAATATAAAGCATAGATAATAGCCCTTTTCTATTATAATATAGATAGCTATTACTATAGTTTATCAGTATAGTAAAGAATCTATAAGCTTTCTAAGCTACTAATATTAATATATATATATGTAAGTGGCCGTAGGGAGATAGGCTACTTTAGGGGGTCTCCTAGCCAGCAAGGTATCAAGGCTGCAAGTCGCTGCTACAATTACTTACTTATAGGAGTATATAGGTTTACTAATAAAAATATATGTATTATAATAATTAGAATAAACTACTTAGCTTCCTCCAAGCTGTTCAGGTTCCCCTATTTCTATTCTGTGTGTGCAGAATTCAGACAAACTATTATCTAAGTAAGAGGAGGGGCCCTGACGGGGGTGTGCCGGAGGCTCAGCATGTGACAATATATATATAATTATAGACCCTTATATTTCTTTATAGCTTAGGCAGAGTTATAAAAGAGGCTAGAACCCCTTAGTATTAGTAAACTATATATAGGGTAGCTACTAGCTCACCCCCTACCCTTAAAGAATTTAAAGACTCTATACCTACTATAATAAATAAATATTCTATCTAGTAGTATATCTAGATAACTAGATCAAGTAATTATATAATACTTAATTCTTGGGAAGGTTTAAATATTTTATTAATAACTTAATCTTAATTATAATAATCCTAGAAAGTGTAGTCTCCTTATTATTAATTATATTATTAATAATAGGGGTTTAAATAAGTACTTATATTAATTAGTTTAAACTAGTAGAATTACTATAGATTAATTATTTTTAACCTTCTACCTAAGTAATAATTAGTTTATTATAGAATATCTCTTAAGTCTTCCCTAATATAATATTATAGTTATAGATATTATAGACTATCCTAAGTCTTCTAAAAGTAACTAATAATATAATTAATAGATAATTATAAATGATAATATAAATTTATATAATTATAATTATTTTAATAAGCTTAGATAATTATTAATAATTTTAATTATAATTTTACCTTAGCTTAATTACTATTCTTTACTTAATAAAATAGGTAACTTTAAATTAATATCTTCTAATATAGGGAGCCCTTGAAATCTAGTCTACTAATAATAGTAATAGCTTTAAGGTAGACTAAATTTGATTTTAATAATAATAATTTAATCTTACTACCTAAGTATAATTAATAGGGATATATAGGCTAAATTAACTAATCTAGTTATATAACTATTAAATATATCTAGGAGGAGTATAATTATTAAGACTATATTTATTTAATATTAAAGAAGCTATAATTATTATCTCTAATTCTCTTTCTCTTTCTTCTATTTTTTTATAGTATTTAAGCTATATTAAAAGATCTCTAGTCTTAAACTAATATCTGTATATATAATAGTAAGTATAGTAAGGATGCTATATTAAAGTAGCTTTAGATAATTAATAATTATTTTAGAATAAGTAAACTCTTACTTAGGTTATTACTAATATTAAAAAGATTATAATAGTTAAGTATTACCTTATAGGCCAGGCTAAGAAGTAATAAGATACTTATAAATAAAAGTCTAAATATAATTTAATAGCTATTATTACTAACCTAGATACTTTTAAATAGTAGATCTAAAATAACTTTAGAGAGATTAGAGAAGAGAATGAATATTAGGAAGAGTATAAGAGGTATATAAAATGGTATAATCTTAGACTATCTCTCTTCTAGCTAAAGCTACTAAATATATTAAATTAGGAATCTCTAATAATATATTAATTTAGAAATTTATTACTAATTTAAAACTAGTTCTTGTTATGGTATTAGGGCGCGCAGCTAATTTTCTAGGCTAATAGTATATTTTATAGTTAAATCTACTAAGCTAGTATAACTAATAAATTTACTATTTATTAAGCCTTTAGACTATCTTAAAGTATTTAAGGTTATAGTAGTCTATAATAAATCTAAATTATAGTAGACTAATTAGTTCTAATTCCTATTCCTTAAGTATATTAATTATAGTAAGTAGCTTCTTATTATAGATCTTATAGTTATACTCTACTAGTATATTCTTTCTAGAGATATAAGTAACTAGCCTTAATATACTATTATTATTATATTATAATATTATAGCTGCTATTACTTAGTTAGAGATATTAGTCTTAACTACTATTCTCCTATTAGGGTTAAATTATATAAGAATTAGGGCTATAGTAAATATCTTCTTTAATAATTTAAAGATCTCTATCTAATCTTCTCCCTATATAAAGGGGGCTCCCTTATATATTAGTATTATTAATAGTTATACTATATCTAAGAAGTTCTATATAAATTATTAATAAAAGTTTATAAAGCTAAGGAAGGATTATATACTATATATAAAGGTTAGAGCCTGCTATTCTAGTAAGACTAGTATAGCTTTTATTTTATTAGGGTCTATCTATATACCCTTACTAGCTTCTATTATAAATCTAAGATACTTTATACTCTTTATCTTAAACCTATACTTATTAAGATCTAGTTATAAGCTAGTATTCTTTAGGTATTCTATCACCTAATAAATATACTACTAGTACTTTATTAGTAGTCTATTAGTAAAGATTAGTATATTATTAATATATATAGAGGTAAATATATCTAGGAAGTCCTAAAGTATCTAGTTAATATACTATTAGAAGGTATTTAGTATATTTACTATACTAAAAGGGGTAATAAACTATTTAAATAGGCTAAATTATTATAGAAAGCTATTAGCTATTTATCTCCTAGCATAATATACATTTTATAAAATACTATAATTATATCTAGCTTTATAAACTACTTTACCTTAGAGATATACTCTAGGATTTTATTAATTAAGGGTAGTAGATATTAGTCCTTCTTTATAATTATATTTAATATATAATAGTTAATATAGAATTATAATCCATCTCTAGGCTTATAGGTAAATGGTATTAGTACTATAGTAATAGAGCTACTAATATAGATAAAACCTTTCTCTAATAATTCTATTAATATTTTCTATAGTACTAGGAGTTCTCTATATAATATATTATATAGTAGCCTTTATAGGGGTTCTATTAGCTTCTCTTTATTATTCTTAATTAGTTTAATCTAATAGTTAACTCTTAGATAGTATAGTAGTAGCTTATTAGTTTTCTTCCTATTAAATACCTCTAGGAACTTATAATAGTATGCTAGTAGCTTTATAGTAGGATTAGTATATTTCTTAACTTATAAGACCTTCTTAATATCCTTAATACTAGTAGTAAAGATTTATATTATCTTCTCTTTCTTTTACTATTAATTATAGACTATAAATCCTTAGATACTAATTTACTTTACTACTAGCTTTAGCTTATTCTTAATACTCTTAACTATAAAGCTATTTATAAATTATAATTAGAGGCCTTTAGCTTCTACTATTACTTTCTAATCTACTATCTATAGTATTCTTAGAATTAGGTTAGTTCCCTCACCTAGCTTTAGTACTATATATATATATATAGTATATTAATAGTTCCCACTAATATCTAGTAAGAAGTAAGTAATTATTAAAATAATACTTCCTATTATACTAGTATAGTTCTTAAGCTAGATAGGCTTAATCTTAATCTACTCTAATTATTACTTTTATATAAAATATTCAGCTATAACTATATAAGATATATATCTAGTATTAGATAGAATTCTATAATTATATTCCTTATTAATTATACTAGATATAATAAATTTAGGGGTATTAAATCTAACTACCTATTAAAATCTTCTATAGTTAGTAAGTATATCTTCTTTTTTGAATATAGATAATACTAGCTTTCTAGTAATATTAACTATTTAACTAGCCCCTACAAGAGTCTTTTTATAGGAGTAACTAGTTTTCTAACTTACTAGCTTTATTAGTAGATTCTATCTTATTATCTTTAAGGGTCTAATAGCTTAGGAAATATAAGATTACTTTAATTCCCTATCTTATAGGGGAATAGCACTAAGATACTAGCAGTC